TAATCGCCTGGAAGATTTGTTAAAACTGTTTTCTGGGCCCATCTCCAAAGTTTCTGATTTGGCAGGTCTGAGATAGGGCTTAAGAATCTGCATTTTGCAGGGGAGGGTGTAGCTCAGTGGCAGAGTGTGTGCTCAGCATGCACGAGGTCCTGGGTTCAATCCCCAGTATCTCTATTAAATAAATAATTGAATAAATAAACCTAATTACCTCCCTGTTCCAATTGGAAAAAAGAATCTGCATTTTCCCAAGTTCCCAGAGGATGCTGGTGGTCTGGGGGCCATACTTTGAGAACCACTGCTCTAAGCCTTAGATATATTATATGAAGCATAGATAATAGAATAAAAAAGATTGTTGCAAGAAATAAATGTGGTCTGTGGAGGAGCATATAATAGTCCCCACACAAGGTAAATACTGATTGTCATAATAGCTCCTTAAAAAGACAGGGATTACAGAAAAAAGTGTAAAGGCGATTATCCAGATTGAAGGGTTAATGCTTGTAAAGGGAACATTCATGCAGTTGTATTTTATCCTTAGCCTAAATTCTGTCACTTCTAAGTCAAAAATCTACACTAACTTCCTCTTAATGTTTTAAATCGTAATTACGTTTTTGTGTGCATTCGGCTGTATATGTATAAGTATAAATATAACCTCTAGCTGGTAATCCATGTCGACTACCCTGATTAATAATAATCTGATTAGTGACTACATGAAGGTGTACGTGTGGGTGCAGTCACGCTCCCGGATCCAGACAGCCTTGCCAGCGCCGCAGGTGTTCACTTCCACCTTCGAGGTGTTTACTTGGAAAGGTGTTTTACTGGTGGTAGTTCTGACAGCTGCCACCACAGGATGGTTTTGCTTGTTACGAACTTTGTATGAACGGAATCAATTCAATTAGCGGGTTCTTTTTGTATGGTTTCCCTTACAGCTACAGTTGGGGGACGTGAAGAAAAAGGGTTCTGTGGAGACGTGCTTGCATCTTTGTAGACCTAAGCGCTGACTCACTTGGGGTTTGTAACTGGAGGATGAAGCGCTGGGTCGCCGAGCCTACGGCGGCTGTGCTGAAATCGCCCACGAGCTCGGCAGTGCCGTGTTTTCTCGGTTTACTCCTACCTGCAATGCAAATGCCTTCATTGTAGGCAGCAGAGTCTTTAATTTTAATCGTTCTGATGGGGGGGAGGTCATTGTCTATTATCTGGGTCTTAATTTGCATTTCTCGGGGTCTAATGAGTTTGAATGTCTTTCCATATGCTTATTGGCCATTTGGCCATTCTCTTGGGGTCACCTTTCCAAATCTTTTTGATTTATTTCCATGCAATTTTATCTTGTTTTAATACCTTGGGGAGGAAAAAATGTTCCTCTTCCCTTCCACGTTCTTCTGGCTGATCTATAAATTAAACTGACATGAGACAGATTGACAAGAGAAAATCAAATGTTTACTACCGTGTGTACCCGGGAGAGGCCCAGGAAGACTGAGTAACTTGCCAAAGTGGCTAAAACGCTCACCTTAAATATTTTCTTCAGCTAAAGACAAGAGGATGTCGTGGGTAGTGGTTTGGGACTTTGAAGGGGAGGAAGGTGATTCACATGGAGATGGAAAAGCAGATGTTCGGTAAGTAAATGTTCGCCTGGCCCTGCAGAGACAATGGGACCCCGAGTGGACTCTGATCTCTAGGACCTGCTGAATTGTCCCCACCAAACCTCGCCTGTGTTCTTTGCAGATCTCTGGTGGTAGCTCTATTCTCAGAACAGTCCCTCTATATAAAATTTTATGGGGAGAAAAAATTTCTTCTATATAGCACAGGGAACTACGTTCAATATGTTATAAAAACTAAAATTTTAATTTAATTAAAAACATGAAAATGATTATATGTATACATATATGCATGACTGTGATGTGCTAGACACCAGAAACTGACACATTGTAATTGACTGTACTTCAATACAAAATTAAATTAAATTAAAAATTTTAGGGGGAAAGTCAAAGTTTCTGAGTCTTTTGGGCCTCTATTATTTTCAGCTCAAAATAATGTACATACCAAAGAGACATTTTAGGGTGGCAAGTTTTGCTCCCCTGCAACGGGAACTGTACAACAGTTTGGAAAGAACTGTTATTATAAGACAGAGCTTTCCAAACCATGTATATTATTTCTCCATTTATTGCTGATTCCTTCACTGTTGTCTACAAACTTGTGGCTCTCAGGGGAGGGACACATGATTTTAGACTTGTTCGTAGGTGTCTCGTGTGCACGTATCTGACTGTTCCCCTAGCATGTAGACTTGACAGACTCCGTCCCCTCTAATAGTACGTGTACTCTTTGGGCTTGCTTTTGATGTCACAGTTCAAGGTGGACGAACCAAGAAGGCAACAGACTTAGGAGCAGACTCTGTCTATGAAGCTCAAACATTATGCTAAGTGAAGGAAGCCAGACACAAAGGGCCACATATCTGATAATGCCATTTCCATGAAATGTCCCAAATAGATAAAGCCACCAAGACAGAATGCAGATTAGTGATGGCCGGGGCTGGGAAAGGGGGAGATGGGGAGCAATTGCTCAGTGGGTCTGGGCTATCTGTTTGGGAAGATGGAAGTCTTGGAACTAAATAGTGGTGATGGTTGCATAACACTGTGAACGTTTTCAGTGCCACTGAATTGTACACGTTAAAATGGTTAAACTGGGTGGGGACGGTGTAGCTCAGTGCATGCTTAGCACGCACAAGGTCCTGGGTTCAACCCCAAGTACCTCCTCCAAAAAAAATAAATAAGAAAACCTAACTACTACTCCCCCCAAGGGGTTAAATATTTTATGTATATTTTACCATAATAAAATAAAGTAGGCTCAAGAATACTTAAAATTCTCTTTATCTACAATAACGTCTCATCTAGGAAGCACAAACAACCCTGTGGGTCAAGCTTTCATCCTCGTGGAGTTAACAAAGTGTATGCAGTGCAAAGACTAGAGAACCCAAAGCTGGGAGAGGCCCAGGAGACTCAGAGGTTAGAGAAACCCCGGGGGCGGAGGGGGAGGCGCTCCTGTCTTAGAGGCACAAGCTCAGTGTTTGATAGTGGGCAAGATCATTTTCCTCTTCTTGGTATTCCTCATTTGTGGTGTAGGGGAGCAAAATTTGCCACCCCAAAATGTCTCTTTGGCGTGCAGATTATTTCAAGCTGAAAAGAGTCAAGGCCCAGAAGACTCCGGAAGAAACTGACTTCGCCTTAGCTACCTACAGGACAGAGCTGCCACTGGAGATGTCTGCAGAGAACGTGGGCTCCATGTGGTGGCAGAATGCAGTAGGACCTACAGCTCAGAGTCCACTCTGTGCCTCCTCGTCTCTGCGTGGCCCCAAAACATGTCTACTGAACACTGGCTTCTGCATCTCAGTGTGTATTTCCTTGCTCCCTTGTGAAGTCCCAGACCACGCCCCTCAACATTCTCTAGCGTTTTAGCTGAAGATGGGATTCAAGGTGAGGGTTTCAGCCATACTGGCGAGTTCCTGTCTTCCTGGGTCTCTGCCATTATACACGTTATTAAGCTTTTGTTTGATTTTTCTCCTGTTAGTGTGTCTCATGTGAATTTAATTCTTAGACCAGCCAGAAGAACTTAAAAGGGTAGAAGAACACACATTCCTCCCTGACACTGGTCCTTCACAATGTGCGTCTTCCAGCTGAGTAAAACCACTGGCACCCCAGCTCTCTCCCATTCTCTACTATATAGGTGAAGAGGAGAGAGAGGGAAACACATGGAGAAATTTTCTTCTCTCTGTAAGAATATATTTTGGCCAGGAGATGCTGGTGATCTTTACTACAGCATCACCCAGAGAAGCCAGAGGTTAGTTGGTGTCAGTCTTGAATCCCCCAACCCCCATCCAGGTGACGCCACTTAACGGCGGTGCTGCAGGGTCCCGCGGGCGC